AAACATAATTAATGTGCAGAAATAAGGAATAGTTGTATTAACCATACATGGAAACAGAGTTTTATGGGGCCCCCAGGAACTTGGGGCCCTAGTATTGCCTGATGGTAAATCCCTGCTGCAGTCTGAGCCTCTAACGACTCGTCTCTTCTCTGCAGGGGAGAACCTGACGATGGTCTTCACTCTGAAGGACTGGGGCGCCCAATCCAGATCTTTCTCTGTGAAGAACGTCCCCACCACGGAGAGCCCCCCCACCACGGAGAGCCCCCCCACCACGGACGACGACAGCGTGTTCAGTTCCAGCGCTGCCTTGCCTGTAGGCAGCCTGTGTCTGATCAGCATCATCTATGAGGCGGCCTGCTGCTCCACCATTATCCCGCTCTGTTAGCTTGTGCTCTACTCCGGTTCTTCTGGCTTTGATTGGACGGTGGAGGTTATCTAAAGATGAGGGGGGGGGGGGTTCTGATCCAGTCTGTGGTCAGTAAGGCTCCAGGGATCTTGGTCACCAGTTTTTTTAAGCTTTCTACGGTTCTTTTAATGTTTTTCTTCAGATTTCGGCTCCTATTACCTGATTTTTACAGCATTTTGTAAAATATTTGCCAATTTAAAATGAAGGAATGAAATAATTCTGAGATTAAACTGACCTCAAAGAAAATGAAGTTTTAAACTTTGGCACTTTAACTGATGGTTTCACATTAAATATACTTTAAAAGGATTCTGCTTCTGTTGGCGTCTTTCTGTTGATGGTCCAGGAAGCTGGAGTCCAGTTTTTTGGATCTTTGTTCTTCATCTTCCTCGTGGCCGCAGGAAGTGGTCAAAATGACTTCCAGCTGCGCTGATCTTCCCCATCAGGCCTGAAGGTCTGTTTATCCGACAGTTGGGAATTACAGAGAATTACATGAATTCAGGAAGTTTCTCTATAGAAAATGAACCACGGGTGTAAATGCAGCGTTCCAGGCGGTGAAAGGGGAACATTTTCACAGTCTTCAAGGATCCAAAGACAGACATGGATTATTATTGTCTATCAGAAGATCCCTGCAGAGTTTGATTCTCAGATTTTCATTTGCTTAAAGACAGCTTTCAAAATGTTGGACAGTTCAAAGCAGGATTTGCTAAACTTGTTTTCCTGAAACGAGGAGCTGTTCCCACCGTAACACCGTCACAACCGCAGCTGGAAGGATGAATCTGTCGCATACGATCAAGTACAATGATCAAATCAAATACAACCAGCATAAAAATAAAACAACAAGCCGGTCCCATCTAGGCTTAATCGGAGACAATGACAGAGCTGCTCCGTAGTTTTGTTTTGGTCGCTGTAACCGCAGAAAATCCTGCTTCACAAAGATAGGATGTTATAGATAGGATGAGTCTTGACCTGAATTAACCTGTGTCAAGACGCACAGATGCACCGACTGATGGAATTGGGAGAGAATACCCCAATTTTAAATTTTTTTTTCAAAATAAAACATCACCCAGACTCTGATCAT